ACAGGAGGGCCAGTGAATTACAGAGGCAGACAGATGAAGTTTTTATCAGTAACTACAGGAAGAAGTAGGATGTAAATAAACATTAGTGACATACCAATCTGCTGCTTCCTTTTCCTCTAACTTCTGTATTTAAGCTAGATCAGTTTCTTAGGAAATAACCCCAATATGTTCACTTTGTATTTCAGCATTTATAGTCTGAAATATGTCAGAAAAATTCACCAGGTTAATCACATTCTGAGCTCTTTCTATTATAGTTTTTCTTTTAAGACTAATGAAAGGATTATAATTGGGTAAGAAGTATGATTTATAAAATTAATGAAACCCTTGCTGATTTAACGTGGGCCTGTAACTTAGAACAACTGTATTGTCATTGTCAGGTTTTTTTAATATTATGGTTTCACTGTAACTTATATAACTGCAAAATAAACAAAGTGGTTTTAGTTCTAGAGCTCCATATCACATTAGCAATGAAAAGGGAGGTAGTACTACGCTGCTTTCAGAACTTTAAGCTTTTCCACCTAAAATCTTAGAAGGTAGCAAGAAACAGTTGTGCTTAGAACAGTTGCATTTGTTTAAGTTAATTTTTTTTTTCCTCAGAAGAAAGAATGCACCCAGTAGATAGCTGGAGGTAATGGATGGAGCTTGGAGAGGTTAATGTTATCCTAGAGCGTCATCCAAGTTACACAACTGGAGACAAAGGGTTTGGGAGGAAAAAGATTATTTGCTAAAATTAAAGGTCTTCCTTATTTCATGTAGCTGTGCAGCCCTAAAGATCATACTGCAATAAGCTTGAATTAAAATCTGTGCTTATTAAAACTAAATTAAAATATGCTATTTTAAAAAGGAGACTGTGTCCTGAAATTCCATATTGGGAATTTAAAATTATTGCACTTCAAGAACCACAGTTTTCTAATTTGGGGCTAGATATCGGTGTGTCAAAACCGATTCTGCTGAGCCTCAAGGTCTGTTCGGTGCCTTGGGAGCCCTGAAAAGGGCTGAAAGAAATGCATGTTTTCACCATGAGAAATCAGACATTTTGGCTTTTCAGCTGCATAGTACTTTGTTCTTCAGTTTGAGCTACCTGCTTACAGACTTCTTTTGCATCAGGGCTGTGAATAGAGCATGCACTGGTCTTGAGGGGAGACCACCTGTGGCAGGGAGTTGCAGACTCTGCCTGCCAGACACAGACTGGCATTTATGTCCCCCCTCCCTGTCCCCCTCCCCCCCTTTTATTTTTTTCCTTTTCCTTACTACCGTGTCATCACTGTAACCCCAACCCCATCACACGAAACCTCAACCCCAATCTGGCACCCTTAAAAGGAGGTGAAAATTAGCGATGAAAATACTATCTACCTACTCCAAGGAATATTCTGGACAGGAGGCTTTAAAAGCAGATTTTAAAAGCTTTAAATAGTTTGAATTTAACCGTGGAATAATGAAAACCCCAAAACATTGCAGTACTGTAGAGACCTGTTCTGAGTACCTCTTAATAGTTTGATTTCTAAGCATCTGCAAAAATAAAATAAATGTTAAATTCTATGGTTATTAGTTTAGTAACGTCAAACACCAATACATGTAATGATGGATTTAAAAGAAAAATATCAAATTTATATGCAGCCTGTCAGTGAGAATGTGTCTTATACTGTGTGTAGGTTTCTAGTTTTTCATTTTGGTTTTTAAGACTTGGAGTATTTAAATATTTTAGACATGTGAGGACAGAAACCTGTTTTCAGCTCTTGGAATTGATTTTTGCTAGCTAGAAAAAGGTCTGCCTCTCTCTTATGAGACACAGTGTTAGACAGTAATGCCACAGAGGGGTTTTTTGTGTTTTATAACTGCTAATCTCTGCCAAAACAGCAGCTCTTCTGTGAGTATCAGTAACTTGAAAGAAAAGACATGTTCAGAGCATTGAATGTGGTACTTCTCAGTGTAAAGCTCCTGTTACACCACGCTGCCTACAGCCTCACAAAGAGGATTACACAGGCCCTGTTGTGTCTCCTAACCTTTTTTGAAATCATTTTGTGTGTGTGCAAGACAGAGGTCTGGTAGAGGTGATTTTTAGCTTTAGCTTTTTTTATTGTTCTTTCTAAGTCTCTAGCTGGAACCACTTTGTGCTCTCTCATTTCTTTTCCATTATTTCAGTTGCTTAGAGCAGCCACGTCTGCAGCGCTTGGGTTTCAGTGCTTTATCCACGTGTTCTCATGGGAGAAGCAAAAAAATCACCTTCATGCTGTGAAAGGAATTCTGCAGGTTGTGCCCCAAACCGCAATGAAGTAACTTCCCACGTAATTAGCTGGTGCAAAGTTGAGGGAAAGGCTAGCCCCAGAGGAACAAGCAGTAGCAGCTACCCATGTTTGTTACAGCAGTCATCTCATTCCTCCTTCCCATCCTGCTTGCCTCCTTCTCCCTGCACATTCCATAGCTCTATGTGCAGAGGCACGGCTGTAGTAAGCGTGCATGACTTGTCCTTGCTAAGCGTTTGGCTCTGTGCTCTCCTGTTGAACTATTACACTAGTAACCTAGTCGATGGGAAGTTCTTGTGGCTGCCAAGGCGGGTGAGACCACAGGGAAAACAGCCTGGAGATCCATGAGAGCATCCCTTCCAAACAGCTTCCAAGATAGAAAAAAAATCTGTGCAGGGAAGAAAAAAAAAATCACCTCTGCTGCTGTTTTGTGGTTCTCCTGTCCTGGGCAGGTGGCAGTTGTGCCTTAAGAGTAAGGAGGGTCCTTTTATATCTATCTGTTCACATTAGTGCAAATGACTAATGCTATTCCTGTGCACACAGTTGTTACTTAAATGTCAAAGGTAGCAATTCTAGGGCAAGCAGTCATGCTGTGACTCAGTCTAGGTAAGCACCGGGAGACATTAAAGAAGATGGGAGTTTGTAGCTAACTTCAGGTAAAGCACTGTGAGGCTTTGATAGCTGTGGGGTGTGTTACTGGTCCGTGTCCTTCAGCACTTCCTATAGCAGCTACAGCCCTGGGGAGGTGCCTGGGGAAAGGCTCAGGAACCATGCTGCCGGGAGGAGGCTCTTGTGGAGCTGGGGGAACTGCAAGACCCTGAGAATTTGTGTTACTGTTGAGGGAGGAGTATTTGACATTCGTTTGCCCACTGGGAGATAAAGAAAGAGTGAGCTGGAAGTTCCTTGTGCCCATTCCCTGAGGAACCAAGCCTTAACTCTTACGTTTTGGCAACTGTGCCAAGAGCACCAACTGAGATGAGTTCTGCAGTGAGATAAAACCCTCTCCTCTCTGGCTGCCTTCACCAAATCCCAGGCTAGGTATGCAAGACTGGTAAAAGCTCCTGGGAGGAGAGCGTGGGAGGCCAGGGGCTGGATCCCTCCCTGTGGTGAGGAGACACTTTCGTCACGAGCTCGGTGCTGGGCTCTGTAACGGCAACCGCTGGCCTTTCCCGCAGACTGAGATCATGGGAGCTGCTTGCACTGGTGCAGGAAGCAGAGGGGCTAATGCATGCCTTTGATCGTATAGGCAGTAGCTGATATTTGAGTTCTGCATGCAGTAATGTCTGTTACCTACTTCAGAGAAACGTAGGCTAGAAATAATCAAACGATCATGTTGTACATTCATTGCCTGTGACACTGTTGTTTAGGGTTTGTAAGGTGCAGGTCTGTACGAATTTGTATGCTACGAGTTAAAAATAATAAATCTGATGCATCTTTATTCTCCCTGCTTTGATCTCCTTGGGCTCTGCCAAGCCATTCTTCTCCCAACCAAAGGGAGCCAGACTCTGTGTGATAATGTACATCCTGTCTCCTTCCCCACTCCATGTGTGCACACAAGCTGCATATTTTACTTTAGAAATGGCAAATTTGGGTCACAAGTTCAGCAGTTAAAATGATCATTTTACCACATCCTGCTTGCACAGGAAGCTTATTTTGTAAAAAGCTGGTAAGTTGAGTCCTCTAGATTTTGTCAAAACAAAAAGCACAGCAAGTTATTTAAAGCTGCAAAGAGGTTTGGATTCTCACACGATCAGTTTGTCACTTTGTCTCACAGTGCATATGTTTAATTTAAAGTGAAAGCCTTGCAGCCTGCTCCTCTGCTACCTGGACTAACCAGCTTCCTATAATCACCAGGCTGTGATGATAATCTGAAAAAAAAATCTTCCTCATTATGTTAAGAAAGAGTTGTGGGGTTTTTTCTTGGTTAGCTGGGTTGGATTTTTCTGAGGAAGGATTATTTTTTTCATTAATTGGGGAAAAAAATTTATACAGTACCATTTGGTCCAATGGATAGGTGATAACTGTTTCTCACTGTAGAACATCCAGACACATTAAAAAAACTGTGCCAAACATTCATGTAGTAACTGCAAGATTTTCATTTGTGCAGTGGTACGTAAGGGAAAGGAGCCAGTCAATCTGGGAAGCAATGTGGATGCTCAATAGCAAGGAGTGGGAGACATTGACTATTATTGTGTTAGATGAAAAGAAATGAGAGACCTTGCTCATAATGTAACAAGAGACCTAAAATGTGCTGTGCAAGTCATGAGCAAGGTGCAAAGCATTTAAAAAATGCTATTTTGTTTAAATGCAAGGTACTACAAAATAAAGTTAGTGCTGGATTTCACATGTTCAGACTCAAGCAGTCATTTTTACAGAATCAGATTTTCTGCAGTGTAGTCAATTGTTGCTATTCATGTTATTAATACATATCAGCTACAGCACTTACCTTTCAGATATTTCAGTGGCACAGAGCAGGCCTTGGTGCTTGCACTGCGAAGTGGCAAAGATACGTATATGTCATTTGGCCTGAAGTGAGAAGACTTCTGTTTTGATGCTAAAGTAATGCATCATTTCAGTACATATCCTTTGAGAAAACAGTGTTGAGTGGAATGATGGACAATGTGTGACAGGCAACAAAATATAATGAAAACTGGAACCTTCTGAGGATCTGTATGTCATGGTGTGATTGTTACTAAATGGTAAAATAACCTGCTCACCAGTCAACAATACTGATTTTGTCTTTGTTCTCTTGTAGGAATGTTTACCCTTGCAGAAGTTGCATCGCTCAATGACATCCAGCCAACTTACCGTATCTTGAAACCATGGTGGGATGTATTTATGGATTATCTAGCTGTTGTTATGTTAATGGTTGCCATTTTTGCTGGAACCATGCAGCTGACCAAAGACCAGGTGGTCTGCTTGCCAGTTTTGCAGTCTACTGTAAATTCAAAAGCACAACCCGGCACATCAGGGAAGGTTGACTTTACCACTGTTGAAACAACCACTGGTCAAGGAGAAGCAGCATCAATGAGAACGGTTTCCTTCGGAAGTGCCCCTACTGTAACCCCTGACGTACCTCTGAGCAGAGCTACCTCTTCTCAGTATCAACCCACTGAATCAGGCCAGGAGCTAAAGAAGGAGCAGAAAGATTCTTCAGGCCGTAAAACAAATTTGGATTTTCAGCAATACGTATTTATTAACCAGATGTGCTATCATTTGGCTCTTCCTTGGTATTCAAAGTATTTTCCCTATCTTGTTCTCATCCATACTATCATTTTAATAGTCAGTAGCAATTTTTGGTTCAAGTATCCCAAGACTTGCTCAAAAATTGAGCATTTTGTGTCTATATTAGGGAAGTGCTTTGAGTCCCCTTGGACTACAAAAGCATTGTCTGAAACGGCATGTGAGGACTCCGAGGAGAACAAACAGAGGTTAACTGGTGCCCAGTCCCTGCCCAAGTATGTTTCCACTAGCAGTGATGAAGGAAGCCCAAGTGCCAGCACTCCTATGATAACAAAGTCTGGCTTCAAATTTTCAGCTGACAAGCCGATGATCGAAGTTCCCAGTGTCACTATTTTAGACAAGAAAGATGGAGAACAAGCCAAAGCGCTGTTTGAGAAAGTCCGTAAGTTCCGGGCTCACGTGGAGGACAGTGATCTGATCTACAAGCTCTATGTTGGCCAGACTGTCATCAAGACTGTCAAGTTCATATTTATTCTTGGCTACACTGCAAACTTTGTCAACACCATTAGTTTTGAACACATCTGTAACCCGAAAGTGGAACACCTGATTGGCTACACGCAGTTTGAATGTACACACAACATGGCTTACATGTTGAAGAAGCTGCTTATCAGCTATATTTCCCTCATTTGTGTCTATGGTTTCATCTGCCTCTACACACTTTTCTGGCTGTTCCGAATACCTTTAAAAGAATATTCCTTTGAAAAGGTCAGAGAAGAGAGTAGCTTCAGTGATATCCCTGATGTCAAAAATGATTTTGCATTTCTCTTGCATATGGTAGATCAGTACGACCAACTGTATTCTAAGCGATTTGGTGTCTTTTTGTCAGAGGTAAGTGAGAACAAGCTACGGGAAATTAGTTTAAACCATGAATGGACTTTTGAAAAGCTGCGGCAACATGTTTCCCGCAATGCCCAGGACAAGCAAGAGTTGCATCTCTTCATGCTGTCGGGGGTCCCCGATGCAGTGTTTGATCTGACGGATCTGGATGTGTTGAAACTGGAGCTGATTCCTGAAGCGAAAATCCCAGCAAAAATTTCCCAGATGACAAATCTTCAGGAGCTTCATCTGTGCCACTGCCCTGCGAAGGTCGAGCAGACTGCCTTCAGCTTCCTCCGGGACCACTTGAGATGTCTTCATGTGAAATTCACGGATGTTGCAGAAATTCCTGCATGGGTGTATTTGCTGAAAAACCTCCGTGAATTGTACTTGATAGGCAACTTGAACTCTGAAAACAATAAAATGATAGGTCTCGAATCTCTCAGAGAGTTGAGACACCTTAAAATCCTCCATGTGAAGAGCAATTTGACCAAAATTCCCCCCAATATCACAGATGTGGCACCACATCTGACAAAACTAGTCATTCATAATGACGGCACTAAGCTTGTGGTACTCAACAGCCTTAAGAAAATGACTAATGTTGCGGAGTTGGAACTGCAGAACTGTGAACTGGAGAGAATTCCCCATGCCATCTTCAGCCTCTCTAACTTACAGGAACTGGATTTAAAGTCAAATAGCATACGCACAATTGAAGAAATCATCAGTTTCCAGCACTTAAAAAGATTGACTTGTTTAAAGCTGTGGCACAATAAAATAGTCAACATTCCTTCCTCCATTACCCACATAAAGAATTTGGAGTCTCTTTATCTCTCCAATAACAAACTCGAATCTTTACCAGCCGCAGTGTTCAGTTTACAGAAACTTAGGTGTTTAGATGTAAGCTACAACTCAATTGCATTGATTCCAGTAGAAATAGGTTTGCTTCAAAACCTGCAGCATTTTCACATCACAGGAAACAAAGTCGACATTTTGCCAAAACAGTTGTTTAAATGTGTTAAATTGAGGACTTTGAGTCTGGGACAAAACTGTATTACCTCAATCCCAGATAAAGTTAGTCAACTGTTGCAGCTGACTCATCTGGAACTGAAAGGAAACTGCTTGGACCGTCTGCCAGCCACGCTGGGACAGTGTCAGCTTCTCAGGAAAAGCGGGCTTGTGGTGGAAGATCACCTCTTTGACGCTTTGCCCTCGGAAGTTAAAGAGGTGTTGAATCAAGACACAAGCATTCCCTTTGCTAACGGGATTTAGGCTGAGGTGAAATGCTCCGGTATCTGACTTCCAAATGGGAAATGCTAAAAAGTGTGGCAATTGTGAGACCATGCGTTTTAGAAAGCAGAATTCCTTGGAAGGCAGGACTACTAGCAGGATTAGAAGAGGTGTATCCGAGTGTTCAATGTTTGCAGTGTTTTAAAAGATTATTTCCAAAATTTCTGAGAGATTAAAGAACCTTAATAATCTCAATTCTTTTTTCCTTAAATTGTTTGTAACTTGGATGCTGCCGCTTTTGAATGTTTACAAATTTGCTTGCCTGCTTAAAGTAAATGATTAAATTGATGACCTTTTCTTACTATGCAAGTTTTTCCTTAAGGTCTGGATTTACTTTAGTGCATTATGGAGGGAAACCCCAAGGATAAATGTTGTATACAGTATGGTTCTAACAGCACTTGAAACACATGTTGATGTGTGTTGTTAGTGTTTAGCCCATCCTCAGCAAATGAAACCAGTTTGGCTGTGCTTTGAACTGCACCAGAACCACCATTTTCCTGCATTAAGGTATGTGGTTTGCATCAGGCCAAGTGCGTTTGCCTTCATTCTTCATCCTCAAGGCCTCATGTTGTTGGTTGAGATTTCTCCTGTGGTCCAGTGTGCTACTCCTTCACACCGGCAAAGACTGGTCACATTCCCACAGCTGGTCTCCCCCTCAGCTTCCATAACGCTCCTCTGTCCCACGCAGCAGCGGATGGTAAAAGGGAGAATACTGCCACTTGGCTTTCAAGTTGGGGATAGTTTTGATATTTGAACTGTTTTGCAAGGTGACTTCGAAAGCCATTAAACACCAAGTGACTTTACTGCTCATGTTTTGCTCCTCTTCCGAGTTTTCATCTAGGAAACTCAAGGCATTTTATGAGTTGGTAATTGTTTTGTTTCACAGCCCTTGCTTAGGAACTGGGGTGTCTGCTCCATTTACTAGACTAATGACAGAGACGTAAGAGTTACGATATACCCAAATGCGATTTAGCTTTATCACCTATTGTGGTGTGTCTTCTACACCTGGACGTTAACCATAGGACCACTCTTCTTCCCCACCCCAGCCGAAGTAATTTGATGTTTTTGAACACTTACGCACTGTTAGAAAACCCTAACTGTGTGCCAGATAAGTCCTCAAATAAAGAAAAAAGCAGACAGCAGTGAGCGTGGGATTTTTTTTTTTGGTTGATTTTTTGGTGTTGTTTTTTTAACTGAGTTTGTATTGCCAAAACCATTAAAGAAATATAATCCATTAAATCTGCAAAATCATCAGTTGTAAATCTTGGCCATTTACATTCCATGTGTGCAGAAAAGAAGTACTATGCTGGGAGATGATTACATGATTACTCATGGTTTAAACACAATTCCCTATTGTAGTGCGGTCAGGACTGAACTAGTCTGTAGTTCCAGGGACTGTTCTTCTCACACAGAAATCCTCATGCACAGCGATTTCTACTGTAACTTCACCAGAGCTGCCCTGACTTACACCACTATTAACAAGGGGATAGTTTAGGCCTAGGGGCATTGAGCAGTCAGGAACATTTCAAATACTGCTCTTAGAATCTTGCACATTTTATTGTTAATCATTTACTGTTAGTCATGCTGGGAGGACTGTTCTCAGCTGTAGGTAGCAGTCTCTGGACACATACCTGCACCGTATGTTTATGTATATCAGAAGACCAGTTTATGAATAGTGGTTTTCCCACTTCTTTTGGGGATACAGTCTGTTTTCCACTTGCCCGCAGGCAGTAAACTTGGGATGTTGATAGTTCTGCCACACCAAGTCACAGGTTTGGCAGAATACTTGCAGGTACTGATCTGTCCTCCACTGGGAAATTTAGTGCTAATCCTCAGAATTTTTTTTAAATAGAAGTTAAGGCTGCAGTGGATTATTTTTTTTTTAAGAAACTCTTTCATGTGTTTATTTTTTGCACATAGATCACTTTAAAATTGCTGGACTATTGACTCTTTAGAAAAACTGTGGAATATACTATTGGTGTATGCTTTGTATTTGCTGTTGAGTGTCATTTCAGCTTCCAAGAAATTGTGTGTAGGAGGGAGGAAGAGTTGGAGGATGACAAAGTAATTAAAATATTGAGAAAAATAGTTCTATTTTTCATCTTTTTTTCTTATTTTAATAGCGGAGTCGCACAGAATGCGACCGTGGATTGATCCAGCTTTTAAAAGCTTTTTTCGGTGTTTCCGATTCTCCTGCTGTCCCTACTGATGTTCAAAAAATAAACCCATGTCCACTTTGTAAGAGTATGGTACACATAATTTAGACCACTGTTTTGACTAGATATTAGCCAATTGTACTTCCTTAGACAGCTTCCTCCAAAATAAGTGTATGTTAAAGTTAGTTTCAGGCTTGTGATGCTTGCTCAGCATAAACTCCATTCTTGGTTTTAGGAGAGCTTTCTCGGAGTGGGGAGGAGCTGCCCATCATCGCCATGTCACCTCCCCCCAGTCCTTCCTCCTCTTTGTGACTGTTTATAATGTTCCTATTTCCTGCGTGAAAGCTGACACAGTCTTGCTTTAAAGTCTTGGAAGTTCATCTCTTTTCCATGTAAGGCATGTGAAATATATTTTGCATTTCTATTTGATTTAATAAATAAGATGTTTATATCTTCCTCTAATCTATTTTTTTTTAATGGGGGAAAAGTGTGTTTGCGTAGTAAAACCTCTGATTGCAAGTATCTTACGCTGAACTTGTTCTGTGGTGCCTATAATCTAAGAGGGAAGAGGTATGAGTTGCTGCTCCTAGTAAATCGTGTAGGTATGGTTTCTAACTAGAACACAGCACTTCAGGATAGGGTTTTTCTTTTTTTTCATATACATAATCTAAATGACCTACCACTGTTTTTATTTGGCTAATGGAGTTTTGCTGAATATATGTATGGCCCCAGAAGAAAAATTACTGTGTTCATTCAAATGAGAGGAAGTAGGAAATTGCCCATTCTGTTTGCTCCTGCCACTGTAATGCATTTCTGTGAAGATCCTTCAGTTTTCCAATAAATTGTCCTTTTCTAGGATGCTTCCCGTGATGCGAACAGAGCTATGGCTGTGTCCTAAGCAGGCATCGGGCCTCTTAGTGTAAGGGAGGATGCTGACACTTGTGAAAGGCTCTCTGCTGCTAAATAAATGGCTTTGCGTTCCTTAGCTGCCCTCTCTGGTAGCAAAGGGGGAAGCCCAGACACTGTAAGTCATGTCTGGTTATGGGGGATCTGCTTTGTGGACTGTATTTTTAATAAAAATCTTACAGAAATAGCTGTTCTGTATATTGTGTTTCCATGGATGCGCACAGAAGTTAGTGCTGTGCGGTTATGTGAAGGCAATGGGCTAGACTGTGATTCCTTTACTTAAAGTCAGGTTAAACAAATGAGGTGCTCCTAGAGCTGTGGTGTTGACTGTCATTCTGATGTCTTGCAGGAGCAGATTTTGGCTTTCAGACTTCTTGGTTCTCAAGACAGGGAGCTGTGGAGGAACCTGGCAGTCCCAAGTGTAACTCTTCTGCAGCTCATTGTGAACATGAAAAATGAGGCTTCCGTGGGGTCTGTGGGATGTGAACCCGTGAGGGTGCTAAAGATGAGAACAAAAGTCTCGAATTTGCTGAGGCATCCCAGTGTTGATGGCAGAGCCATAGGGCACAGCGGAGATGGGCTGAGGGTAGCTTATCTGGGCTGCTGTTGCCCAGTGTGATAGGATTATTGCCTGAGCAACAACTGGCCTTGAAGACAACATGGAGCACGGCACTGCTTTTCAGTGCAAAGCAAGGAGGGAGGCTAAACCTGTGACCTGAGACCTACTTCTAGTTTTGGCACAACCTTCTCCTCACCTGAGGAAAAGGACATTAAAAAGATTTAAATTTCCTGTCTATAAGCTGGGGATTCTTTAATGGAGGTAAAATGCATGAATGATTGTGAAAAACACAAATCCTGTAGAAATGGGGTCATGTAGAAAGATTCAAGAGGCACAGGCAGCCTCGTCACCAGCTGCATGGCAGAGCCCTATCAATGCGTTTCTAATGTGTGATCCCAGAACAATTTGATTTAGACAGCAAACTATCATAGGCAGGACTAGAAGATATCTCAAGATGTCTTTAAGCCTGCCATCCTGCCTCATGCAGAAATAAGGTTCCCTAACTCATTCCCCCCAGATGTTTGGCAAGATGTAGGAATGGGTTAGACATGATGGAGATACCAGCCTCTCTAGGGAAGCTGTTTCCTTAATCATCTTCCCCATTGAAGAAACACAGCTAGAACCTTCGCCAGACAGCAACTGCTGATGCTCTGTTTAGGCCAAACCAAATGATTAGAAATGTAGTATCTATTTGCTTGCAGAAGTACAGACTGAGACAGACTTCTGCATGGATGTGTTGCATCCGAAGCAGCTTGGGAGGACTGAAGTTTGAAGTTTTTGGGATTCCTTTGAAAAGAGCTCTGAGGGACAGCTAGCATCAGTTACAGATACAGTGCAAAAAGTTGCATTCTCCAGTGACAGCAAGGCCATCCGCAACCATGGTGCAATGCATTTATGGCTGGTCTGCCTCATCTTAGGCTGGTGGTTGACATCCTTGCCCTTGCAAAGCCGAGCAAAGCCTGGGTAGTCTGTTCAGAAAGACATTCTGTGAAGGCATTTAAATAATATGTTTCTCGAGCAAGTTTGCTCTAGGAACATGCAAGGTGATCCTTAAGATTACCAGAATTGAAAGAATTGAGACAAATTCTGTAGTGTTTTTAACATCCCTTACCTCCCACTGTGAATTGATAAAATTGCTGCATGAACTACTGATTAGCTTACAGGGTTCCCCGAATGATTGGCAATTTTAGCACTACAGAAGCGTTCCCAGTTCAGGCTGTCCACTTGTGCTTGTACAGTGTGTTCAGCACTTAAACCAAAGGCATCAAACATTAATGTTGCAAAACCCTGCGGGCTTATGCTGTGACCAATTTCCCAGGACAGCAAATCATTCCCCATGCTGCTAAAGGGAGGGAAAGCTGTGTTACTGAGTACAGTTGTTTCTGTAGCAAAGATGAGGCTTTAGAATTAAGCTCAGAAACAGATTTTGCAAGCTGATTACAAACATGCACCCATTCCACGATAAAAGTCATGAGAGATGTCGTTTCTGGCAGAGAGATGCTGAAAATAATTCCTATAACTCAGCCAGGCATGGGTGCAGAAGTGGCAGCTCTTTAACGCTGCACATCAACACAATACAACTCAAGTGAGGATCTTTCAAACCACACGCACTGGAGTTTGGCCAGGCTGCATCTCTCTCCCTTCCCTAAAGAGAACAGCCCCTAAGCCCTTTTG